CTGAGCATTATTTTTTCCAAAGAATCATGTGGCTCATCTTATATCCAAAGATAATAATCTGTTTAGTCATCTTGGCTTCTAGTAATTTGTCTTTTAAATCTCCAACACTCCATGTGTATCACTTATTGCTGATTCATTGACACGAATTATGCTCCAAACTGCCTTACATTTATGCTACAATAAAAACTATGCTGCTGCTAGGATTTTACCCCATCCAGCACAGGCTGTATATGGTTACAGCTATGCTGGATGGGGTTACACTTCCTCTGAAGGTTTGCAGCTTGGGAGTGATCCTGGACTCATCACTGAGCCTGGAACCCCAGGTTTTGGCGGTGGCCAGGGGAGCTTTTGCACAACTAAAACTTGTGCACCAATTGCACCCATACCTTGGGAAGTCAGACTTGGCCATGGTGGTCCATGCTCTATTTATATCCCATATAGATTACTGCAACATGCTCTAAATGAGGTTGCTTTTGAAGACTGTTCAGAAGCTTCAGTTGGTCCAACGGGCAGCAGCAACCAGGTTGCTCACCAGAGCGGCATGCAGGGAGCATACAACTCCCCTGTTACATCAGCCAGTCTGCTACCGAGACCAATTCAAAGTGCTGGCTTTAGCCTATAAAGCCGTAAATGGTTCCAGCCCAGTTTACCTGTTTATCTTCCCCTATGAACCACCTCAGAGATTAAGATAGTCAGGGGAGGCCCTACTCTCGGTCCCACCTATTTCGCAAACGTAACTGATAGAGACAAGAGACAGGGCCTTTTCAGTGGTGGCCCCATGGCTGTGGAACTCCTTCCCTAGCGATATTAGATCAGCCCCATCCCTCCTAGCCTTCAGAAGGAGAGTGTAAACCTGACTCTGGGATTTGCCTTTCAGAGAATAGCACAGTGCAATAATATAATTGGAATATGTGCAATGGCTATGGAACGGCCTTAGACTACAGTTTCTGGATGGTGTGATTTTAATATTGAATATAACTTTTTAATGTTTAATATATATTAATGCAATTTATTTTAAGCTTAATGTTTGTATGTGTTTAAGGCATTGAATAATTGCCATATGTAAGCCACCTTAAGTCCCCCTTGGGGAAGAGAAAGGCAGGGTATAAATAGGGCAAATAAATAAATTACCTATCACTTATTTTTCCTAAAGCATTTAAAGAGATTTGAAAGATCATAACTTATAAAGCAAAGTGTGCTCATGGTAACAGGAATTACAATTTTGTAAACAAGAATCTGAAGAAAAAGCACATCACATCACAGATGGAATAATATGTGGGCGAGAAACAGCAGCTATGCCCCAATAATCCATGAAGTAGTTCATTGATGTTCAATAAGTGGATCGTGACCTAAATTGTAATACCTCTACAATTTCCTGACTTCTGAGAGGAGGGAAGTGATGCCTGCCTGCTTGCTGGAAGGAAAAAAGATAGACAAAGCTGGGGGTTGTTATAGAGTGGTAGACAATTGTTCATGTGGTAATTTCTTGCTTACAATTTATTTCTACTGAAAGAAATTTATAGCCATCAATTACTGAAGGAAATCAAATCTTTTGATTGTTTCTGATACTTCTATTAGGAACATAGAAATATGCCTTATACCAGCTAAGACCATATTTGTGATCTATACTGACTATCAGTGGCTTTCTGGAGTTTAAGGCAGCTGTTTTCCTATTTTTTTCCCGAATGTCAGAGATCAAATTTGGGACTTTCTGCATGCAAAGCATACAACGTGTAGTTAAAAAATAAGTCTTATAACAAGAAATGTCCATGATTATTGTTGTTTCGAGTGTGCATTGTTCTGAAATTCTTACTCCACTCATAATCATAAGATGTGTTCCAAACTTATATTTGCATAGTCATCATTACTCAAAATCAACCAAGAGGAGAATACCCACTGTTTATACCTACTCAGATCACATTTACGTTAACCTCTGATTCATTGTAGATATACAAAATGTCTGCCCTCCCTGAAAATTGCATCTTAGCTCATTTTTAGTCACTGTAGGATAAGGAAGTAAGACTTCCCAACCTCAGTCTTTGAATCTTTAAGATGTGTACCTCAATTTCTACTTTTCACAGAAAACTATGCTGCCACTTACCACCATCATGTTCTATTTTCATGGAGGTTTGGTAAAGATGGACAGTTTACAGCCTTGAAACAAAACTCACTCTAGTGTGGTACCTTCTTAGCAAATGATAGGTGAGACTGCCACCACTGATGTCAGTAGAGTTGTTGGTGCCTCTATTTCTACATTCCAGCAACCAATCAAGTATTAGAGTATCAGCACGCATTACCATCTCTAGTCCATGCACTACAATTCCCAAGTGGCATTACTAGCATGTGGATGTGTCAAAACATTAAATGGAAGCTTAGAACTCTTAGAAGCCCTGAGTCCCCTTCGAGGTGAGAAGGGCGGCATATAAATGTTGCAAATAAATAAATAAATAAACTCTTGGGTCTAAAAGATTCTGATATAATTGGAGTCTAATTAGAGATCTCATCAGACTAAACACTGCTACAATTAAGTTGCAGGTGTTTAAGGCAACATTAGATTATGTCAGATTATGTTGTCTTTTCTTTTTCCTGCAACAGTCTACTACCTTTAGACAATATTGAGGGTATCACATATTATCTTTTTGTTTGTACTCATTGCATCTCAGTTGAAAAGCTTGGGTATGCCTGCCAGAGGAATAAGATCTCCTCTGTGTCCAAAAAGTGGAAACAATACATTACATAGCAATAGAGGAAAAAGGTGTTAGAATGCCTTCTCCTCTGAGTCCCAATTGGCTTTGACATTGACTTCATTTTAGAACCAAGCTGAAATGCAGTTCTTTTCACAAACTCTTTGGCTTCTAAGGATCTCGATGTGATTGAATAGTCCATGGTTTAAATTGTTTAATGTCTTTTAAACTGCTTTAAACTGTTGTATGAATTCTTCCTTGAAATTTTGTGCACAATATGAATATTTCAATCATAATTCAAATCACTACAACTCTCTCTCTCTGTGTAGTGTATTTGTGTTTGTATATACACACATATGCACACATATTGCTTGCTGAAACAGGGTACTTGTATCCCAAGCTCATGACAGAATAAAATGCCTTTTCTGGATGTCATAGAAAAGCAATCCACACACATCTGGATTATTCCCCACATGACAGCAGCCATGCTAATTAATTCTGTAATTGAACAAAGGGCTGTTTCAGTCCATCAGATGGTCAAATTATGCCAACATTAGATACATACTCTAGAGAAAAAGTTGGATGTTATACAGGCTGTGAGAGTGTACACTAGAAAGACTAAGCACATGAGAGGAATAGAGCCACTATATGTTTCCTCTAACCCAAAAACACTAAGGCACAAAGTCTCTAGAGTTTTGTTTGCATGTTGGTTAAATGTGTATATATTTTTTAATTAAAGGCGTGCATATTTCTTTGTTGTGATTTAGCAAAGACACAGGAAATGTGTAACTCCATTAAACTTTATCTGTGTTAACAAGTACAGATTATATAGACATCTTTAGAGAATTTCTGTAATGCAGTGGGAAGGAAGGAACCATCAACATCTATTGTGTGTTATAAAGACAAATGTGAGTCTGCACAAGCTGCTTTTGGTTGGACTATCTTGCAGTCAGTAATGTGCCATACTGGTCCAAGAAAGGAGAATTTGAATACAACCCAAATGTGGGCTGCTTTTTAGTGCCATCCAGAATGTGAGACATTAGTACTTGCCATGAAGGTTCACTCTTAGATGGCCTGGAGAAGTAATCCACCTCTACCCTAGCTTACATTGTGTGTGTGTGTGTCAGATGTAAATAGCTGCAGAGCAAGGAAATGGGAGAAAATTGCTTATTCAAGTGAGGCTGCACACAATCTATAGTGTTTTCAGTAGGAACTCATGCAAACTTCACAAAGAAACAGGTGAAAGCACAGAAATCAAGATTATTAACAAAAATAATCTTGACCTGGCATGCAAGATAACCCAAATATGTGGATTGCTCCTCCAGGCTATTCAAGAAGCATGATAAGTACCTATCTCTCAGGGCCCTTCCACACAGCCCTTCCACAAGGCAGAAAATCCCACAATATCTGCTTTGAACTGGGTTATCTCAGGCCACACCACCATATATTCCAGTTCAAAGCAGATAATGTGGGATTTTATTTAGCTATGTGGAAGGGGGCCTCATTTTGTAGGCCTATGAGATAGGCAAAGCACTTGAACCAAACATTAAGTTAAACATGAATGAGTAGGTCTATGTCTACCACTCAATCTTTTGAGACACGTTTTCTTTACTCTATATGTCTCCGAGAATGAAATAAGTAGACTTCAGACTTCTAGGGTTTGCCTTGTTCTCTTGCTAGAACCATGCGATCTACCAAATTGGAGCCTGGTGCAGAGATAAGCAGTTAGAATTACTTTGGAATAGCAAAACTGAACTTAGGGCCCCTCCACACAGCCATATAACCGGAGGATAACAAGGCAGAAAATCCCACAATGTCTGCTTTGAACTGGATTATCTGAGTCCACACAGCAATATATTCTAGTTCAAAGTAGATAATGTGGAATTTTATCCAGCTGTGTGGAACGGGCCTGAGCTAGCAGTCCTGTCACACAAAGATTCATTCCTTGTTACCCTAAGCTTGCTTCATTATAATAAAATATTATATTGCCTTGTTAAAACCAGGAAGCCACAAATCCTTGCTTATAACTCAGAGTTCTATCAGTTGATGGCATTTATTTTCTGCATTTTCCAACCAAGAATTTCATTGGTTACTATGTGGAGCAATACCATTCATATCTACTCTGAAGTAAAGCTCAGCAGTGGGAGTTTTATAAAATAAGCATACTTAAGCTTTCAGGCTTTGGATCTTAAAACATTTTGTTAATTAAGAGAAAAATACGGTATAAAGCCAAGGTATGTATAATCTCTTCATTCTGAATTATTTTAAAAGGATTATCTTAAATATTTTAATACTTGTCTTTATTTTTATTTATAGGTAATTTTCAGGTGGTGGAAAATATCTCTTCGGAGTGAGTATCGTGAAGCAAGACCTGGAGAACTTCGAGAAAGTCATGAAGATTTCCTTGATGACCCCTCTCTCCAAAGTAAGTTACAGGAAATACTATCTTAATATGATAAATGTGCCAATCATCTGTGTATGTATTTGTAAGCATCCTTCATTGATGGTGCTGTAACACTGCCAATTAACAGATTTGTTTTCATAGTTTGAAACACACTGGAAGTTTTTGGTAAAAATAGTTTTCTCAGTTGCATTCACATTATCAAAGAGAGTTTCAGAAGAAATTCACAAATGCTTGACAGTTCAAAGTTTACAGCTTGACTTTGACAATACACCCAACTACCAAAATCTTTTCATGCCTCTTCCAAGGTCCAAATTGTTTATTTACCAAAATTTGGCCAAATTCACTTATCCAAATGGGGAAAATGGCGCAAACTAGATATTAATACAATTCTATATTTCTAAAACTAAGAGAATTAGTCATACAGAAGCATTCTTCATATCTTTTAATCCAAGAACATTAAGTGATATAGTTTTTCAAAGAGTGCTGTTAAAGTGGATAAGAGCATGTATTTGGTTGCAAAATTCTTCAAGTGATACTACATTATTCTTTCAGATGTAGTACATGCTTCAAGGTGTAGGTCACACCCAAAACAATTGGATTTACTTTGCATCCCTTTTGCTGGTTGATTCCTCCTTTACACCAGCCAGAGAATGATAAGTTGGAGCCTGCCATGAATTTTTGAGGATACAGAAGAGTAATCAATGTCAATTCCAAAACTATGACCTTCCTAGGTATGGGGGTGAGGAAGATGCCATCTACTCCACTGTCTTTTTACTATTCTGAATATTTATCTTTCTAAAATACTCTGAAGTATTGCTATATAGATTCAAGTTTAGCTGATTAAGGGTACGTAACAAAATTTTAGGGAGAGAGATAAAAGAACTTTGAATACTGGTGCAAGACAAGTCCTGTTAGCTAGTGGATTGTTCCTCTACATCCTCAAGAATGAGTATTCACAGTAAATTCCAAATTCTCATTCAATATACATTCAACTAATTTTATCGCTAATTGTTAAGAGTATTTAATTAATGTCTACCTCTCCATAGTCAATCTCCGTGTTTCAAATTGCATGTCTCTTACAATGCTAGGAGGCATTCACAATTTTCTGTTGTAAAATGTTTGTTTTCCTCAAGCAAAGGTAAAAGGAAGTAAATTATGTTTGTCAGTAAAGCATTATACCCATCGTTATCCTCCATAGGTGCTGCCAGCTTCTGGTAGAAAGCTTGTGAAATAAACTTGTTAAATTATCAGGAACTGATAATGGTTTTTAAATGTCTGTAGTAACATATAAACACCAAACAGAGAAAAGGAGCCAAGTTCAATTTACACTTGGTTACAGGGCACTTGTGCTATTTAATTTGATTTTGTATATGTTCATCTGTCTACAAACCTTGTGAAATTTTGTTATGTATCATCAGTAATATTTAGGTAACTACTCTTTTTGATATGCGCAAAGTTCAAATATGAATGTTTTGTGTTCTTGGAGCCTTCTAAGTTACTGCCTTTAAAATCATTTTATATAAGGGTCATCTGATATCTCTGTTGAGATCATTGTTGCTAGAGCTGCTACCTGATATTTTAACATATTGGGATTCAGTTCTTGTTTATGCCTGATTATTAAAAAAACCAATTACCTCTTTTGCTGGAGGGAGAGAATGTACAGATAAATGTATATGATAGATTGAACACATTTTAAGTGTTCAACATTTTTTTAAAATAGATGAACACAGCCAGATCATGTCTAAAACATTCATCTGGCAAACTATAATTTCAACAATTCTGATTATTGTTTTATTATATAGGTCACATATGAGAGAACTTTGTAGTTTCCTTTAGTAATTCATATACTAGGTTTGTCATCAACTCTGAATACAGTTGCAAACCTATATACATGCCACTCATAGTAATCCGTTAAATTTTTTAAGAACAATCAACATTTGCACTGCATTTTAGTATAATTAATTTTGAAATGAAAACTCTCAGTCTTAGTGTCCTTACCAGTTTGAAATTACAGGAGCATATGGTTCGTTTCAGCTTGGGGAATATCAGGTGCAAAATAATTTTATCCAGTCTTAACTACGCTGAGATTTTATGACAGATTACATTGCAAACCACAATTTTCTTTAAAAACCTTGGTTAGCATTAATTGTATGAGTAATCAATTGGATTTTAAAAGTTTATTCAGCAACTCTCCAATGGCCTTGCAGCAGTGAACAGATAAAGGATTCAACTGGTTCTCTATTATTGAATTGCTAACATTATTTTTATTGACTATTAATACAACATTTTGGTCCTGGTGATGTTCTACAGAATAATTCGTTTTTCATGCTGGAAGAGACAAATATCTTTAGATGTATACTTTCACATTGAAAACCTGTGAGTTCACAGAACCATAGAGTTGGAAGAGACTGCATGGGCCATCTAGTCCAACCCCCAGCCATGCAGGAAAAGCACAATCAAGGTACCCTGACAGATGGCCATCCAGCCTCTGTTTAAAAACCTCCAAGGAAGGAGCTTCCACCACACTCTGAGGCAGTGAGTTCCCCTGCTGAACAGCTCTTGTAGTCAGAAAGTTCTTCCTAATGTTCAAGTGGAATCTCTTTTCCTTTATCTTGAACCCATTGCTCCAGTTCCTAGTCTCCAGGGCAGCTGAAAACAAGCCCCCTCCCTCTTCCTTATGGCATCCTTTCAAATATTTAAGCATGGAGATCATGTCTCCTCTCAACCGTCTCTTCTGCAGGCTAAACATACCCAATTCTAAGACACTTCTCATAGTGCATGGTCTCCAGTCCTTTGATCATTTTAGTTGCCCTTCTCTGGACACTTTCCAGCTTGTTAATATCTCTTTTTAAAACTGTGTCTGGAATTGGACGCAGCATTCCAGATGAGGTCTAACCAAAGCACAATCGAGGGACCCCATGTCTTCCCTTGATCTAGACACTACTTCTTTTGCCCAAAATCCCATTGGCTTTTTATAGCTGCTGCATCACATTGTTGGCTCCTGTTCAACTTGTTGTCCACAAAGATTCCCAAGATCTTTTTCACATGTACAAGTCTTGCCAAACTAATCTTATCTCTTTTTTCAATAGTTACAAGTTTGGTAGATGCAGGGAATGCTATAGATGTAGCATTTCTTGATTTCAATAAAGCCTTCGACAAGATCCCCCATGACCTTCTTGCAAACAAAGTAGTCTGATGTGGACTAGATAGTGCTACTATTAAGTGGATCTCTATTTGGTTAAGCAACTGAACCCAAAGGGTGCTCAGCAATGGTTCCACTTCATCTTGGAAAGAAGTGACTAGTGGAGTGCAGCAGGGTTTGTTCCTGGGCCCAGTACTGTTCAACATCTTTGTTAATGACTTAGATGAAGGTTTAGAGGACATGCTTATCAAGCTGGATGGCCATCCGTCAGGGGCTCTTTGTGTTTTTCCTGCATTGCAAGGGATTGGACTAGATGGCCCATGTGGTCTCTTCCAGCTCTATTCCAACTCTTCCAACTCCAACAGTACAAAGTCTATGTACTGTTGTCAAACCAGACATCACTCATCCAGTATCAGGCATTTCACTTTTTCTGCCTAACAAACTAGCAAAATGTACAAATTTATTTTGTTAGTTTGGGCTTAGCTCTTTCATCTGTTGAGGTCATTTTTAATTCTGATCCTGTCTTCGGGAGTATTAGCTATCCCTCCTAATGTGCATCATAAATGTATAAATATGGTTGAGATTCAACTAAGCTCTTTTTATATTTATAAAAAGATAGTAATTATCACTACATGTAGAATGTTTAACCTTTTGTGGGACAGTATACATTTATCTTCATTTTCTTATATATGTATATATTTAAAAATCACAGTTCAAATAGCCATCATATTTGGAGCAGATACTCTGGATCATACCTTCAATATGTGCCGTGGTCAATTTGATTTCCTGGTGCGACTTCCTGACCAATTGCTTATGCGTATAATTTCTTATTTGGACCTTGAAGATATTACCAGACTGTCTCAAGTGTCTCACAGATTCGCAGCGGTAATTCTTTGAAATATTTTAGCTTTCAATATAGTTTTAATGCCAATAGTCGATTCTGGAGATATGTGTGTGCCTTCCGATAAGTGCCCTAAATCTATGCAGTCACCATATAAGGTCAACATGTGCTACTTGTGAGATTTATGAATGTGTGTTAGCATGAATACACATATACACAGGAGGTATAGGCATTTTAAGAATCAGAAATATTACTTACAATATTTACAATTAATTACTTGCTGCTGCTGCTGTGTGCCTTCAAGTCCTTCTTGACTTATGGTGACCCTTATCATAGGGTGTTCTGGTAAGATTTGTTCAATGAGAGAGTATAGCCCAGTAGATTTTCATGGCAAAGCAGGAATTTAGACTGTCTTCTCCTGGGCCATCCAATGCTTAAATTTTAGACGTTGGCTTACTAAGCAGAAAAAAGTCATAAACACACACTCTGTTCTGCACCATATTATGTCTTCACCTTTTATTTATTTCATATCAAAAGCATTGCATAAATTAGTATAAAACTGATAAAAATAGAAGGAGCACAAGCAGCTAAATATCTTTTGACCAAAAACGGGCAACAGCAATGGCATTGTCTGTAGCCTCCAACAATTATTCCTCTGTACATGAGGCAGGGCATAGTGGACAAGCATACAGATGCAGAGTTGTCTGTTCTGCTTCACATGTGAGATAGATAGATATATCTCCCCATCTTTTCTTGGCGAACATTGTATATAGCTGTTAAGGCACATTATCATTGTAGTTATTATTTATTACAGCTCCAACCCACCAAAAAGGATCATGAGGATTTACCGTATTCCTCACTTAGTTAAGTGAATAAAGCAGTCTCTGCATTTTTATACATCTTTCACTGTTGAGTACAGCATAGGATTGGTGTAATCAAAGTGCCACAAGAGGGAGCTAATGCTTCATACAAAAAAGAAATTCACATAAGGGCAGTGTTTTTAAAGTTCTTTCTGTTTAGAACCATACAGTCCTATAAAGCATTAATACAGTAATTATTTGAGGGGCAAATATGTGAGAGTCTATTTCTTTCTGTAGATGTGTTATTTTAGTCTGCTGTATTTAATTTATGAAGTGTCAATATGCAAATTAAGCAAATATTATGCTTAATAATAATAATTATGTTAAGCAACAACTACATTTACTTCAGTTAGTTATATGTCTACTCAGATGTACAAGTTTAGTGGAGGTGATTCCAACTTAGCAAATACATGATTGAAGCTCTCCGGAGACTAGAGCCTGAATCTAAACCCATTGTTCCCATGTAGTTCTGTTACAGATTAAAATATGCACCATTGATGCCATTTTAAATTCACTTTAGAGCAGTGAAAGTAATGGTGTTTTCAATAAATCCAAGGTTGAGTATTTTTTTTTTTAAAAAAAGAAAGAAATCCAAGCATTTTAAAGCTGTGGTTTTAAATGCCCAAGCAAAATCTCTGTTTAAAGGGAGCTTCCCAATTCATTTTTTTCATTCAGTTTTTTTGATATGTTTGTGAATTTTTTGCATCTTTTAAAATGTAATGGTTTTAGTATGACTTGTCTAATTGCATTTCAATATTTTTATCAGGTTTTTGGCTTTTTCTTGTTTTATAGACCCAAGCTGCCTTGGGTCTAATGCTAGAGAGAAGGCAGGATATAAAACAAGTAAAATTAAGGAATAAACAGCCATTTCCCTTATTTGAGAAGACAATTAAATTGTGTTAATTAATATGGATCTTCCAAGAGCACAGGAGCAATCACAGCTCTCACACCCAGGATAGAAAGAGAGGTCCACTGTTGGAGAAAGAAGTCGGACATCCTTCCACTCTGTCACTGTAGGTTCAGGGGTCCCAAAAGTAAGGCCCATGGACCAGATTTGTGTGTCGTCCCCCAAGATAATTTACCCAGCCGCTGCCCTAAACTTTAGACTTTAGACTTCATGTTTAGACTTGAAGGCACACAACAACAACAAACCTAATTAACTTTGCTATCTCATCAGTCAAAAGCAGGTCCACACTTCCCATTGAAATAATGGTAAGTTTGTGTTGGTTAAAATTGTTCTTCATTTTAAATATTGTATTGTTCTTTCAAAAAAAATTGCACTACAGTTAAAATACTGTATTTACTTGAATCTAATGCTCGCCTTTTTTGGCTAAATGACCTTGCCACAATTGGGGTGCAGGAGCTGCACCTGGAGATCCTCTTCGAGGGATGTCATCTCTAAATAAATGGCTCAATGCCATGCAATCCTGGGATTTGTAGTTTGGTGAGACATCAACATTCTTACAGCAGCCAGGATTCCATAACATTGAATCAAGGCAATTAAAGTAGATTCATTCTGCAGCATAGATGCAGCATAGATTTTCTTTTCCATCACTCAAAGCTTTAGTATTCTAACATTTTTGTTTTTAAAGAAGGAATTCTAAACATACAGCAACAGTAATGCTTACTTTGGGGGGGGGGGTGGCTAAATTACAAAGAGTGCACTTTTTGCTGCTGCGCATGACATTTGGCAACAAATAGTTTTCCTGGTTTCAGAGCTTTGAAAATTGAGGTGTGCATTAGATTTGATGGCACATTAGACTTGAGTAAATACAAGTATGTGCAGTGTGCATAGAAATTTGCTCATGTTTTTTTCAAATTGTAATTCCCCCCCCCCCCCCAAACAGTCTGAGGTATCGCAAACCAGCCCTCTGCCTAAAAAGTTTGAGGACCCCTGCTGCTGTAGGTGTTTTATGAGGTTGGAAGACCATTAATAGAATGGAGGGAGGGCATTTATAGATCTGCAGTTCTTCTGCTCCCAGAGCAGTCTGTTCCAATTCAGCTACAGATTCTACAGCATTTCTAGAACTAGTATGGATTAATTCAGGGCCTTTGCTTTCAGTGGGAGGGTAATCTCAAAGTAAAATTAAAAGAACAGCCCTTATCTGAACAGTGTCTAGGTGTTACTAATACTTTTGTTTCCTTTACAAATAGTTGTGCAACTCTGACAAACTATGGGAGATGGTTGTGCAAAATTTATCAGGCAAAATTACCCCAGAAATGAGATCACTGGCACAAGAAGTGGGCTGGAAGCAATTCTTCTTCACTAATAAGATTCAGCTCCAGCAACAGTTCCGAAGACGGAGAGAGATGGGTTCTGATTCATCAGAAAGCCTGTCAGATTAATGGAGTGCCAACTGTTACAAGGTATAGATCTGTTTGGACACAAGTGCCTCGTTTTGCTTCCTCAAGAACAAAATACATGATGTAAATGAACATGAAGCCTACTAATTTAACCTTCATTAGTAGTGCATGAAATCCTTATTTTGTTTCATTTCCCTATACATTTTCATTGTGTAAACACTCTTCCCATTATAGTGAATTAATCCTACCATTCTTCTATTTATAGTAAATCTGTTTTAAGTCACCCATATTTATTCCATCCATTTTTTGTTTTTCTTTCTTTATTGGGGCATGATTTTATGTTTGATGGTTATTGACGATTTCCTTTCTATTTTCCTAGGATGGCCTGGCTGATGTATTGTCCTGAGGCATTGATGAGTGTGGAAATGGTATTAGTGACTAAAAAAATAAAATGTGTCTCTGCTAGTTACTGTTACTTTCTCCCAAAATGACATAAATGAAAGGATTCTAATGAAAATTAAATAGCAGCTTCCATGAAGTGGCTACTGAAAGCTGTTGCTGCCACAAAAAAAGATCACACCCCAAATGAAAATGAGCAGAGTGAGAAAAACAGCCTTCCTTCATTTGTTGTACAATTATACACTTCTTTCTCTTTAAAAAAACATAAATAGAATTCATATTGTCACACTACCTGTAGTTTTCTACTTTATTTCTACATCATTTTAACATCTGCTGATAAAAAGTGTATCATGTGAAACATGGTTAAAACACGTTCTTGTCTTAGGAACACTTTACATAACAACAGTGTTTTTGAATTTACCAATAAATGTACCATACTTGCTAACCAAGATCAGTTCCATGATGACAATGTTAAGTACTACAAGTTCCCAGCATATTACATATCCTTTTGTTGTCTACATGCAAAAGGTGTTATTACTTATATGCATCTGGAAAACCCAAATGTGTTTGTTCAGAATCAAAATTTATCATAAAAGAATCAGCAACTGATTGTAAAAAAGAAATGTAATTATCAGAGGGGAACCTACCAATACATTAACTTCATACACTGATATTGTACGGTATATAGCAAGTTTGATTAGAGGTACTATAATGGATCTTTCAGTTTCTCAAAAGAAGCTCACTTCTGACAAAAATCCTCAAATGTTTTAAACAAATCTGTAAGTACCGCCATATGATGTGGAATAGTGCCCATGCATTCCACATTTCTTTCCTAACCCATGACCATATATTAGTACAGAAGACCAGTCTAGGCAAATATCTACTATTTGTATTAACCAAGGATATGAAAGTAATTTTTCCTACCTTTGTTGTTATTTCAACCCAATTTATTTTCAAAACTGAAGTATTCTTAAACTAAACACAAGTGGGATTTTTGTTTGTTTCAGTGCCTTACTTCATCTTTTATCCCAACACCTATGGGTTTGATCCAGATTGGCATCATACTTAGTAGGTTTGCTGTTGATGTTTGGCTTACTATAAAATGTGATATGAGATTTAGGCCACTCCAACTACATTTCACTCTACGTGTAAAAAAGCTGGTTACTTTAAAAAAATGTTTTCTTTTGTCACATGTGGTTTATATTTTTTTTATTAAACCATATTATACCATCTGGTTTTTAACTTACAAAAACAATAGGATAGACAGTATTACTTTTTTAAAATTCCTGTTGTCTGTAATATTTTTTCTTAAATAAAAAAAATAAATGTTCCTAATTGTTTTGGAAGTAATTCAAAAATTGTATTCATGTTTGCTGAGGTGATGTTCTGAAATTACTCATTCTTTCTTATTCAGTTTTATTTGGACTCTGCTAGCACCATATCTCTGGTTATTAATACTGTTTGTTTAAGATTTATGTCAATAAAAGCACTTAAGATAGTAATGATTCTTTTTGGGAATAGGTACACCGTTGAACCTCTAGTTTCCACATAAGAGCCAGACTTTGGAAAATGTAGAGCATGTGTAGGAGCCAAAAAACCACGTCAAATATTTATGCAGCAAACATTGACATTTCTGCAATCACAGTATTTTTTTAAAGCTCAGTGCAAATCTGCATGATTTCATCCTCCAGAACCCAGTAATAAGTCCACCCTGAACTACTATAACTGCCATGGTGAGCGTCATCAATGTAATTTCTATTGCCAGGTTTACCTGGGATTTGCTGTGTTCAATCTATTGGTAGCAAAGTAATATATAGCATGTATCTATTCCAACTGTGATTAGTTAAATCCATGGATACAGAGGGACACATTTGAAGAGCAATAATGTGAACAAAGATAAAATGAATGAATGAATATGTGTGTGTGTATGTATATATATATATATATAGATAGAGAGAGAGAGAGAGAAAATTGAAGGAAAAGACTGATAATAATATTTTCACATACTTATGTAACCAACAGATTTGCAAAGGCCTTTATAAAAATAAGCTTTTATTATTAACATCCCAATAACAACAAGCCAATCAGCCACTGAAGAATTATCATTATGTAATTTGCCACTTTCATTAATGGCCTTAGGAATCCAGTACCATATTTTGCATTGAAATAGAAATGTGGTTTGTAATTTTAAAAAGTAACATTTTAATGAAAGATTGTAAAAGCTTACAGATATGATAAAAGATTAGAAAAACATCAAAATGTTAGGACCCGACTGTTATTTATCTAGCTGGGTGCCCTCTTCACAAAATGTAAAAGTTATATAATTTAGGTGTATTCATATATAATCTACATAGTCTTTCCTCTCTTTCTAAAGGGGAAGAATTGTCTCTTTGTGGACTGTCAATGTCATAACTTATAGTGCTTCTCATGTGTAAGGCAGCTTCCCTATGGGAATGTGGGGGAATCTCTATATGTTCCCTTCTAGAATAAGCAATTAACTTATTCTGTATGGTCCCATCATGTTCTCATGGGTTTTTGAGAAATATATTAAAGTAATAACATTTTTGCTGTCTTGTACAGATCCTAACATACTACAGTATGGAAAAGACATCTTCAGTTTGAACGATATATGTTCTGCCCTCACATGTTTCTAGCAAACATTTCATTATATGCTCGAAGACTTTAAGTCTGCAACAAGATTTTTTTTTCCACAAAGGTAGGCCAATACTGCCAGATCCTGTCCCTGAGAAACCCACTCCATGAATTGATTTTATGCTATTAAAGATTATAGAGCTTTAAATTACACAGTAGTAAGGCAGAAATGAAGTTAAATAATCCCACAAGAAGCATTTTCTGGACAGCAAAACCTTTGAGAATATTGTAAAATGAAGATATTAAAGGCAGTAAGTGCCATGCTAAAAATATTCTTTCTGGCTGGCACAGAAGTGAGAATGGCAAGGGAGAATTATTTCACACATAGATAATAGTGATAGTATGAGTTCCCTGTAAATGTCCTGCGCCTATTTTTATCTCATTAGTCTTTTAATTGTTTTATCCTGTATATGTAGCCCGCCCATTGTTATCGTTATAGTGATTGTGTTCAGAATGTTATTTTTTAACTGCGTTTTTAAAATGTAATTTTGATGATGTTGTTTTTGTTTATGCTTTGATTTTATTGCTGTAATATGTTGTCTGGGCTTGCCCCATGTAAGCCGCTCCGAGTCCCCACCGGGGAGATGGTAGCGGGGTATAAATAAAGTTTATTATTATTTTTATTATTATTATCATTAGCAGTAGTAGTAGTAGTAACATCCAGCACACTGGAGACTAAACTACCATATATTCTGGCATATAAGAATGCTTTTTAACCCAAGAAAACCTTATCAAAAGTCAGGGGTCGTCTTATACACGGGAGTAGCCTTATACATGGGAGTCGTCTTATATGCAGGAGTAGTCTTATACGCCAGGAGCCTTCTTATAGAGCAGGTGCTGAAACTTCCAGTCTGGATTGGAGAATCTGTGGTTGCTGCATATTGTGGGGGGAGCTCAAAAATGCCATATGCAGCGACTGTATGAAAGCATTAAGGGCGACGCTGTACAAGTATGGTAGAAGAAAATCCATTCATCAGGATTCATGGACTTAATGTGGTCCCGATGGTGAGGTGAAGGGTTGTCTCACCGGGAAGGTGTTAAGTGAAGGGCGGAGCAAGCTGCAGGCGTCCGGGGTGCCCAGGGTATAGAAAAAAGAGATAGAGTGGTTCTGGGCCCAGAAAAACAACTCTTTTACCTGTCTGGCCTGCCCTTGTATCCTATTACCGTGCCTCCTCCTCTGCCTCTCAAATCTCGCTCCTGAAGACTGCAGTGAAGTGGTGCAGGTGCACATGTGCAAGATCTGAGAGGCAGAGAAGGAGGGACAGTAATAGGAAAATTACCATATTAAAATCAAATCTGATGCTTTTAAAAATTTTATTTATGTGTGTTGGAAGACGGGTAGTCTTATACGGCAAGTATATCCCAAACTATATTTTAACTGGAAAAGTTGGGGGGTCGTCTTATACGCCCAGTCGTCTTATATGCCAGAATATACGGTACATGTTATGCATGCTTCTTCTATACAAGGCCACTCAGGGAGCTGGTATTTGTACTCAAGAAGCACCAGGTAGTGGTGGGAGGTTACAGTTATATACTTGTATTTGCCACAGACAAGAGAAATGCCTTAGGGATGGAAGTTCTAGCTGCACACCAGAAGATGATAAATACTCTTATTACTACTTCTAGTCCACTAGAAACTGTCCTATACAAAAGCCATGTTATGTAAAAAAAAGTAGTTTTCATATTTTGAAAAATGTGTTTGTATTTTATGTGTACTTATTACGGCTGGAGGTAGCAGAGGAAACTAAATAATTTAACTCATACAGTCTAGTTCTGCTTGTACTAGAGGACAGAACAGTATGGAGAAGTGCAAGAACAAATGTATGGGTAGATATCATCTCCTTTCTGTTGATTTTGGACATGTTCCCAAACCAAACTCTACTGCAAATTTTATATTACACATTTCATTATCTTGGTCTCCTTGTGAACCCCAGGAAAACATAGTTATATCCAATCCAGTACATTGGTATCATGCTAGACTCTCCGCCTGGCAGAGCCTACCAGCCTCTCAACAGGGTGCATTAGATTATGAAGGCTGCTCTCTTGCCCACATTGTGCTCTGACCATGAGAGTAAAGGGCATACAGGTCCCTGAGCTCTTGGCTTTAAATGCAGACTCTCCAGGTCTGATTTCTCTCTCTGTTCATCCTGGAAGTAGATGATCTTCTGGTGAGTCTCTGCCACACAATCTTAGTTCATGGGTCTCTTATCTGGTATACTGTCAAAACTGCTTGCGGATATTCCATTCTCCATCTTCAAACAAGGATAGTGACAACAGAAGCATCTAGCCACAGCTTGGAGAGCTCACCTGCAAAGCACTTGTTTACCTCAAAAGAAGAGGAACTACATCAGCTTTCTTGAGTTACTATGGTCAAGGTTTGCACAGCCTTCAAATCCTTCCTTGCCAAATATGTTAAGATCACAACAGATAACACAATTATGTTGTTTGTTTGTTTGTTTGTTTGTTTCATTTAATCAAGAAAAGAGGCATCCATTCCTGGATTCTTCTCAATCACACTGTTAAGTTCTGGGATTAGTGCATTGTGAGGGACATCACTTTTGTACAGCTATAAATGGAGGTGCTTCGTCACTTTTCTCAGTGGCATGCATGAAAACTGGCATCAAGTGTTCATAAATCATATTCTTGACTTGCTGTCTTACTTGGTATCTCTTAAGAGTTTGTGTGGCTGGTACCTTGATGTTTGTCCTTGAGTCTTCTCATCTTCATTTGTGCACATTTCGTTCAAGATTTTCTTCAAAAGTTTGCTTAACACTTTCCTTCTTGGAATGTTCCATCACTTTTGTGTGGGACTTCTCTCCAAATTAATGAGGCATCCTTCTGAACCTCATACAACTTGTAGCTTCTCGTGTGAAATACTGTTTTTTATTGTCATCACCTCTTATAACCCTGTTTCAACCCCATCCATAGATCCTTCTTTCCAACCTTCATCCATAGATAGCCAACTTGGCACATGTTAAATTTCAGGCGTGCCCTTTCCTGCCATATCAATTGGACAAAACAGAAGATCCTTTACATTTTTTTGTCTGCTGTGGAACTTATAGGCAAGGCTGTCAAGCTTATTTGCAGTGAATTTCCAAATAGGTGGCTGCTACCATCTTATTAGCCTGCCAGAAAGATGGTGTCTTCCTGTATTCATTCTCATTCTGAAAGAGCTGTCTCCACTTCCTCTACATTCATGGCCTGTGTCCATAAAGCTGCTTGAGTTCAGTCACCAAGTTTTGTCAATCATATAGAGTTGATGCTTGAGCCAGAGAGTACACTTTCTTTAGCTTGTCTGCATTTTAGTGGTTGCACCTCTATCCAGGGCAGTTTGCTAATTTCTCATATGTCTGAGTCACAGAGACCACATAGAAGAAAAACAGCATGCTTCCTGTAGCAATTTCTATAAATGGTCAATTGTGAATTAAACACACCCCATTTATCTCCCCCTATTGCTGGGCTGTTCCTTGCTTGTTGGCAGCTTTGGTGAACATAGAACTGAAGAGGTTTGAACAGGAACAATGCTGAGTAAATGTGGTAGAGCCATGGAGTGTGGGAGGATACAATGAAGTGAGCTGAAGAGCCTAGCTAAAAGTGTCCAAAGGTAGTCAGCACAGAGATTTCCATATGTGTGAGTTCACAGATGACCACTTGAAAAATCATTTGCACGTAAACAACCTGATTTTAGAGCACCTGCTGCAACAACTATATGAGAAAAGACAGACTGATATATTTGAGAAAGAGATGTGTTCTGATCTGTATATCACAAATAAACAATACCTTTGTGTGACTTTCACTAATGTTATGAAGATAATTATCTTATGAATGGAAGTGAATAAAGTCTGCTGATAAAGATGCCACTAATCTATTATGGTGTGCTGATGCAGCAGCATTGAAATGGGATGAATTTATTGCATGGAAGACCTAAAGGCAGATGTCAATTAAAGCTGAATAAAATTTTTGCTGACCCTGTCAAACTGCCCACAGCCAGCAGCTACCTTTAGTTAAGCACATAAGAAATTGGCAGCAGTAAATCTTCCAACCTGGCTACTGATCCTTTAATCCCAAGAATCAGGACACATCTCCCCATCAATAATCACTTAAAGCTTTTAACATTTGTCACCATTGTACTACTTTCCTGTGTTAGCATCTCAAGGTTATTTTAGGTAGCTTGAATTCAATAACTTGCATTGTGGCAGCAGGCACAAATGATTTATTCTGTCTTTAAAGCCTAAACTGCTACAATTATGAGATCTTCAAAGGAAAAAAATCGTCATGTGTGTATAAGCTCACAGTTGGTTTCTGTTCAAGAAGTCATTATCAGTTGGAATAATCAATGAGAAATATTTTCATTTTAATTATTCCTAATGGGACTAATTCTGACCCCTTAAGGTAAATCGGAAGTAAATGAGTCTGTCAAGTAATGCTCGTAATAAGCCCAGGTAATAAAAGAAAAGTCTTCACTTGCAGATCAACATACTCCATTGTGCAGACATGGGAATGTTCCTCTTTAGAATAGAACACCTTATGTGTTTCCATCAATCCATTGATAATGGCAGTGTGAAGTTTATTTAGTTTCCAAATTTGGTATAAATCAGTCAAGTAAAACACATCAGGTGCTGTTTGTAAATGTTCTCAGGAAACAGAATCAAAACAATGATAATCCCTCTAAAACATTAAAGTGTCCTATACTTTTCCATTTTCTATGCTTTTTTCTGGTATTTGCTTTTTCTTGCCAATACAAGGCTGAATAAGCAAAGATAGTATTCCCATCAAATAAAGTAAGCCACATATATAGAAAGAAAAGTCGTATTTTTGTGTGAGATCGTAAATCCATCCTGGAAAACAAAACAAAAAAGTGGTTATTAAAAGGATGTCCTAAAATCAGTGAGAACACATTTAACTTGTTAGTTTTAATAACAGAAGGAGTAGTGTAGTTTTTCCCCCCTGTTCAGTATGCTTATCTGAAAAACCTAAAAATATTTAGAGCCCCATGAAATGCATCTGGTGCTACAAAGGTCTGTATCTAGCATGCCCAAAGCCAATTATCCAATCTCCCCTCATTTTTACTTGAAGAATCTTAACAGCAATATATCTGAACCCCTTTCTCGATTTTCTCTACCTTTTTTAAGTTCACGCATTTTAGCAGATAAACCCTAACTATCTCCTATTTTCCTGCCAATGTTTCCTATCTCAGGAATTTTAGCAGCAGTGTCCCAGAATACCCTATACAGTTTGTGAGCCCCATTCTCTTTTTTATTATAGATAGATATTCCATCATTTTAAAAAAACAAACAAGAATTTATATCAATATATTTCTCACACTTTACATTAAGCCATGTCATCTTTTGTGGCTTCTTATTCCTGGGACCTCTCAGAAGACTTATGTGATATTATTTTGTCAACCTCACCGCAAAAAACCCTTTCCACTGGGTCTTTGGAATTTTCCCCCAAATCAAATATTCTACTATTATTAAAATAGGTACATTCTCCCTTTTCCCCCTTTTTATTTTCTTTTGACTGCTTGTAATTAGTAGTAATGATTTGTGTCTAATGCTTTAGGCTGACCGCAACTCCAGATTATAGTTGTGTTTTAGAAGAGTCTGTGAAATCTCCTGTTGACTTTCACCTATATTATTTTAATGGAATCATTTCTGCAGACAGTGAGTGCTGCTAACCAATGAGATTAGACCAAAGTTTTGCCTGCCTCTATGGTATCTTTTCAGTAAATTCTGCTGTTCTAGGAGCTTCCTTTCTTTTAGATTTGTCTTCTGAGATTCAAGGAAAACATATGTAATTACATAGTGGCTACAAAGTCAGAAAATCAAAATATTCATTTACCTGCAAATGGAGGCCCCAGCAATGCTGAAATTCCATTGGCACATATTATGATTCCATAGGCATTTGCAAGATGTTTAATCCCTACTAAATCTTCTGTTACAACAGGCATGAGTGAAAAATATCCACTGGAAAATCCTATTAGGGCACAGACCACTGCCAGCCCAGCATACGTGTGCATTAATGGCAAAATAAAAATGCAAGCGACGAGAGTAAAATTTGCAATCATGAAGACATTCCAAGCACTGATACAGGTGGAATCCGAGATAATGCCAAGAATGACCTTCCCAAAAATGTGAACAATTGCAATCATTGAAGTCAATGGAAAAATATCATTCTGTGCAGATAGGTGATACTGTTTCACTATTTCTGGGAGATGGATAAAAGGAATGACAAAAGTGCTATATGCAAACAAGGCCCAAAAAACAAAGGCTGCAAATCTTCTGTTGGTAAAGAGGGATGCTGCTCCAAAGTAGCTAGAGTACCACAGACCAAAACCTTTCTTTATTGTAACCATTAGTTGGCTCACTGTCTTCAGAATACAAAGAGCATAGATGTTCTTTCCATGTCCAGTTACAACTTTGTTTTCCAAGGCCGGAGAGTTGCCAAGTTTTTCAACCTTACCTTGTCCTTCTTTTGTTTCTTTTTCATCTTCCCTGAAGATGCCATTAGATGTCAGTGTTTCTGCAGAGCAGGAGAGAGCTTTCGCATGACTTTGGCAGTTGTTTCTCTCGCCACTGTTTTGAGTAGCTTCCTCCTTGTAATAAATGGGTCTCATGAGTGCTCCGCAAACACACAGGTTCAAACAGATTGCGCCCTGGATGAACATTGCGTTCCGCCAGCCAAACTCCATGCAAAGATACTTCAGCAAAAATGTCATCAGGAAAGTACCAAACCCTGTCCCAGTGGTGCTGAGTCCCTGGGCAAGTGCTCTTCTCTTCTGAAAATATTCTCCTACCATGACTATAGCAGGCAGGTACACCATACCACTCCCAATTCCTGAAAAGAAAATGTTCCAGGCTTACAAAGGAAGTAGTGGAAGCTTGTCCAGCAGTGGCTGAGGGCTATTACTGATATCGTATTACTGATATAGGAACTCCAAGTTTTAATACAATCTTAAGATGCAGAATCTATTGTGGGGGGAAATGCCCAAGACCTTGGATATCTTTTAAAAAAATATTTCTTTTTTTCTTTCCAGCCCGAAGGCAACTCAAGGCAGTTTACAGCCAGCATAATTTGATGCCCCCAACAACATAAAATACAATTTATAACATTTAACCTATAATTTAAAACCATATAAAATAAATAAAAACGTAAGTCCTCAGCGTCTTCTTACTAAAATCATTTTCCAGTCACATCGTCCAGTCGTTCCATGGATCTAGATTTGCCTGTTACACTGCATTTGCAAATGCTCGCTCAAAAAGCCAGGTTTTAACTTTTTTATAAAATGTTAGGAGGGAGGGGGCTAATCTAATGTCCCTAGGAAGGGTGTTCCATAGCCAAGGGGCCACCGCTGAGAAGGCCCTGTTTCTCGTTCCCACCAAACGCATCTGCAAAGAAGGTGGGACCAAGAGCAGGGCCTCCCCAGACGATCTTAAGAGTCCTAGATGGTTCATAAGGAGAGATACATTTGGACAGGTAAGATGGACCGGAACCATTTAGAGCTTTATATGCTAAATCCAGCACTTTGAATTGTGTCCTTCAGACTAAAACTCAGTACAAGTGCAGCAATATCCCTTCCCACTCAGGCTACTCCCAACCAGACAATATGTGCCTTTCTCCCTACTTTCAAAAACTTCATTATGTGGCATTAGCAGTTACCATCATCAGACTCAGACACACAAAATCCACTCTAAAGTCACCAAGACTTTCCTTGGCCAGAGATTTTTCTGCTCATAAAGAAGCAACGCAGATTGAAAAGCAACAGTGGCAGGAAAGATGCATTGGCAAGCCTGGCAAAAGGACTTTAAGGATATCAATTGGCCGATCAGGACTCAGACTAGGTTCTGCCCCAGGCCAAAATAGTAGTATGCTTACACTGGGCTGGGAAAATGGATAGATGAGGCCCCTTCTACACTGCTATATGAAATCCAGATTATCTTTAACTGGGTTATATGGCAGTGTAGACTCATATAACCCAGTTCAAAGCAGATAGTGTGGATTATCTGATTTGATAATCTGGATTATATGGCAGTATAGAAGGAGCCTGAGTGATGTTTTATACTGATGCTTAGAGGAACCTGCTGCAGTTCCTCTGTGAAAGAGGGCAAATGAACTAGTTGTTTTGTTATGGAGTTGATAGATGCAGAACAGATTATACATGGCTGTATAATCTACACATTCTCAAAGCCTGTGTATTCCCTAAACTAGTAAAAATGTAAAGATTGTGAATACGTATCAGTCGCAAATGTGTTAATTCTATGCTGTACATTCAGAACTGCCTTTGTAAATTCTGGACTTAGTTTGTAATTCAGCACAGCAAACTTGCCATGAAGGAGAAACTTTTTTTTCTTTCTAAAGACATGGGTGGTGGCATTTTCCCTCTCAATTATTTCCCACTTTCTCCCCACAAGTTGTAATCTTACTGAACTACTACAAAAGAGTGCTCTTCAGTCCAGCCTCTTAAAGGTTAGGTTAGGTAACTGTATTGCAGTGTTATTGCAAGGGAAAGAGAAAAGAAAAAAAACCAAAATGTGTTGTTTCCCCTTGTATGTAGGTGACATCATATTACTATCAAAAATAGCAAACACTTGTAGTAAATACTGAAGAAAGTCAAAGGAGAAAATGCAAAGGCCGATTTACAACAAATATTAAGTAAAAATATGACCACAGATTATTTACAGAAGTTAAAGTGGACAATAAAGTCACTGAGATAATATGAATATATATATGGGTGTACTCTCACACACACACCTTGGCTCAATAAACCAGAAGATTGAGAATGGGAAAGCAGCTATTTTGGAACTAGACAACTATTTTGGAACTAGACAACTTCCAGAAGTACAAAGATATATAATTAATTAACGTTAGAAGTAGTGATATCATCATATTTCCCATTCTTATATATGAACTGTGAAGAAAGCTAATAAGAAGAAAATCAACTCATTGCAGTAAGGAGAAATAAATAGGTCATAGAGCAAATTAGGCCTGAGCTTTCCTTGAAAGCCAAGGAAATTAAGCCCATTGAACATTGGACATGTCATAAAAAGACATGACTCACTAGAAGTAGGAAAAGAAGAAGACTGCAATGTAGCTGGATAGATTCAGTCAAGAAAGCCAGAGCTCTGAGACTGCGAGATCTAAAAAGGGTTGTTGATGATAGGGTGACTTGGAGATCTCTCGTTCATAGGGTTGCCATAAATCAAAGTTGACTTGATGGCAGTTAACAACAAGAAAGGCAAAGAGGTGTGGACTCTCTTCTATCACATTACTTTTTAAAATATTTTGAAATGTTCTTTTTCTGAAATAAGAGGCAAAAATTGTCTCAAATTTGTTTTCACTTATGCTCAAACAATGCTTTCTCACTTAAATTATTTAAATGGATCTCACTGAAAATACAATTTGGCCTTATGTCAACACTATAGCATCATCTGTCAGAATGAAGCATATGTTTTCTGCCTGAAAATGTTTTTGCTATCACTAAACACCCAACCCTCTTGTTTTGTCAGTTTTCAGGAAGCTCATGAAAGTGAACCTAGAATACAAAGGCCAAACTCCTTTATCTACTTATACTTAACTAAGTACTTAACTTTTCTCCTAGCCTGACCCCACTCCTAATAAAAACAGAGTGAAACACCAATCAACCATGTTCTGTTCTTCAGCAGATTGCCCTCCTTTTCCCTGTTCAACTGATGACCAGTAAGGTAGGTTGGCAAGATAGTTACAACTGTGACAATAGTGTTAAATTTGTGGCTAATTAATGACTGTAAATAAAAAAAAACAGTTACCTAAGTATAATGGGTTCGTATTCACAATTGCTCCCTAGTCACACTTTTGAAATTTGCCACAATTATAGTTTGCTCCCCAACCTACTTTACTGGTCATCATGGGAAGAAATACGATCATTCAGATCATGGCCGAACTAAGTTTCCATCAGGCTGGAGGGCAGTGGGAGGAGTCTAGAAGTTATTTAATTCAGTATAAACTGATACAGGATTTGGGGCATTGTTTTCCTCCCTCCTTATTCTTAAGACTAATATTTATTCTACTGTGCAAGATAACCCTGCTGCCAGGTAAAAAGGAAAAAAATCTTCAAATAGATAAAAAATAAAATGCTTCTTAATGAGTTTTGGTGTGCCATTAAGCAAGCTGAAATGTTTCATTTCTGATTTATTGTATTTTTACTTTGTGGCATCTTCACTTTATTGTATTTTTTCTACAAACATTCCCATCTGGATTTTCTATTTCCGATATCAAAACAACCTAGGCTGCCACCACTGTTGTCAGTCAGTAACTTCTTACTTGGCTGTTGATGATTTACTTTCACAACCAGCTTTCTCTTGTGCACTCAACAAAATTCCCCTTTTTGCTCTTTTAGTTATACACTCACATTTCTGAAAAGACATTCAAGTGCAAACGGCTATCTGCACATTTCTGCAAATGGACTGTTGCTGATACCAGTTGACAATGGTGACAATGCATCATATGAGAGCTCCCACATCTCATAGACATAATATTTTATCCACATTAACACAATTAATGTAAAGTATCCCAGCATTGCTCTAAAACTCTTAGTTCTTTAATTTAATAATTTTCAGGGACACCTTGCATTAAAAGTGGTGTTGTTGTTTATTCGTTCAGTCGCTTCCATCTTTTCGTGACCTCATGGACCAGCCCATACCAGAGCTCCCTGTTGGCCGTAGCCACCCCCAGCTCCTTCAAGGTCAAGCCAATTACTTCAAAGATATCATCTATCCATCTTGCCCTTGGTCTGCCCCCCCCCCCTCCTTTTTCCTTCCATTTTCCCCAGCATCATTGTCTTCTCTAAGCTTTCCTGTCTTCTCATTATGTGGCCAAAGTACTTCATCTTTGCCTCTAATATCCTTCCTTCCAGTGAGCTGCCGGGCTTTACTTCCTAGAGCATGGACTGGTTGGATCTTCTTGTGGTCCAAGGCACTCTCAGAATTTTCATCCAGCACCACATAAAAAGTATTGGCTAGTATTCTGTATTAATTACTTAAGGATACTCAGCTAACTCTTCCTGTACAGACTCCCCCATCTTAACAGAAACATCCTTAACCTGCACACCACTCACTAACAGAATGGACGATCCTCTCTCTGCATAGCTGGGGAGGGGGAAGTGACAGTGATAGTATTACTGTTATGAATAAGTAGCAATCATGCATAGGGAACAGTTACTTAAGTTTACTCATCTTTTACAGTTCCATATTTACAATTGCTATTTAGTCACAATTTAGTTACAATTTTATAATTACTGCCACAAACTTAACTCTGAAGGCGTCTACGGACAACACCGGCTCTTTGGCTTAGAAATGAAGATGAGCACCAACCCCCAGAGTTGGACACAACTAGACTTAACGTCAAGGGGAAACCTTTACCTTAGTCACTGCCACAAACTTAATTCTGCCCCTTACTTTAGTGTACAACAGCTGCATAATGAGAAGGAGCTCTATTCAGTGAACCAAGAACAGGTAAGTGAATGCTTCTGTTAGATTGGGGGTGAGGAAACAGTGTTACACTAGGGGGGATTACATCAGTAGTTCTCAACCTATGGGTCCCCAAGTGTTTTGGTCTACAACTCCCAGAAATCCCAGCCAGTTTATCAACTGTTAGGATTTCTGGGAGTTGAAGGCCAAAACATCTGGGGACCCACAGGTTGAAAACCACTGGATTACATAGTTAAACATCAGCTACTTAATTAAGTATGCTCCCCCCCCCTCAACCCCAACACCAACACAAGCCAGCTAAGAGAAGAAAGAGGACTGAGGAAGAGACTTTAGAAACACCTGTCTTACTACATCTGCCTGCCACCTCAGGAGGAGAAGGAGGAAGTCTTGCTGCTTCTCCCCCCGCCCCAAGCCAGATAAGAGGAGAAAGGGGACTGAGGAGGAGACTTTAAAAAGGTCTCTGGCTATTGCTTATTATTTCAGTTGTGGTTTCATTTTGTATTTAATGTTTTTATGTGCATTTTGATATTATGTGTATTGACTTGCTGCCTGTAAATCACCCTGAGTCGTCGAAAGGCTGAGAAAGGTGGTATACAAATACAGTAAGTAAATAAATAAATAAGCTTCTTTCTACAGTTTTCCATTGTGTGTAGGCCCAAAAGCAGATGGAAACAACTGCCACTACCCTGGACTCACAGGAAGAGCAGTATCTCCTGGACTTAATCCCCTCCCACACTGCCATCCCCTTTTCCTTTTGTGTCATGTCTTAATTAGATTGTAAGCCAGAGAACAAGGCACTGTTTTGTCATTCTTTTACCATGTACAGTACAGGTGGTGCAATATAAACAAATACATTAATATGATGATAATGATGATTAATGTTTGGGGGTGGTGTCCAATCATAATCTCTCATGAAACTGCCAGTAACATCACAGAATTCTAGGTTTCTGGAGAACCTAGTTGAGAAATCCCGATCCATCCCCTTGAATTCCTTCTGTGGGAAATAACTTGGATACAGCATTTTAAAATAAAGTGTTGTTTGTCAGTTGTCTTCTTCCTAAACATGGTTAGTGAAATTAAACATTTCTATTAGTGATGTTCCTCCTGCTACTATACAGACTTAATACAGTTTAGTGTCCATCCATGTCACTGCTAACTTTGCTTTGTATACCCAAAAGTGCGTGCTGTGCTCAAGTTGGTGAAAAAACATTGAGAAGCTGGGGGATTCTATGGGAGAGTCAACACCAGGCATGGGCAAACTTCAGCCCTCCAGGTGTTTTCGACTTCCACTCCCACAATTCCTAACAGACGGTACGTTGGCTGGGATTTCTGAGAATTGAAGTCCAAAACACCTGGAGAGCCCAAGTTTGCTCATGCCTGATCTATACTGACAGAGAATGGTACATCAGTCAAAGTGTGTGATCCTAATCTGAAGCGTGCTCATTTTAGCCTCTGTTCTTAAGAAATAGTTGCATTTATCCAAATAACGATACATTCAAAAAGAAATCATGCTTACCAGCTGTCACTCCAAATGTAATAAAAAGGTAATGAATGTTCAAAGCATAGGAACTTAATATCCATCCTAAAGCAGTCAAGAGTCCCCCAGTTATTGCAGTCTTCCGGCATCCACAGGTGTTGATGAACAGACCAATAAAAGGACCTGTGAGAGATCATAAGGGATATATTGTTTTCAGAACACACTATATCATTTGCAGGATTGGTAGATAAAATGTCAATTCATAATTATTTTTTAGAAATTCAAAGTTCAGAGAATTCCTGATCTATTGTCAAAGGCTTTCATGGCTGGAATCACTGGGTTGCTGTAAGCTTTTGGGCTGTATGGCCATGTTCCAGAAGCATTCTCTCCTGACATTTGACCTGCATCTATGGCAGGCATCCTCAGGGGTTGTGAGGACCTCACAACCTCTGAGGATGCAAGCCATAGATGCAAGTGAAACGTCAGAGAGATTGCTTCTGGAACATGGCCACACAGCCCAAAAAACTTACAGCAGTCCAATTCCTGATCTACCTATCTTGGAGAAACTCTTCAAGATACAACTGGACTCTTCAGGAAACAGATCTATCTATTAAGTATCTTCACAATATGCCCTACTAAAAAAGAGCAGTCCATAATTAATACAAGGTTTGGGATAAGTGGCTGATGCTAAGTGTTTCTGATTTTTCTCTCATCCTGAACAACCTCCCAAGACAGTAATCTCTTTCTTGGTTTTAGGCAATGCTTGAGTTTTATTGTACACACAAATAAGGGGCAGAGGAGATGCTCATACAGAGTCCTGCATCCAAGAGATAAGCAACTGTAAAAAAAAAAAAAAAGGTCTATGAATCCAAACTTGAGATCTAGAACTACTCAAGACCAGCTCCAAATAATCCCTTGTAAACCCATTAGTCACAGTAATTATGACTGTCGCAATATTTTGTTTTGGATAATTGCTATATGGTCAATATGACAATTATCCTACTTCCTGAACATCACTGTGTAGAATAGTATATCAAAAGGCAGAGAGTCTGGAGAGTTAATTCATTCAAACTAGACAAATAAAATGAAGAGTAGTTAGTACTGAATATTCTACCCCAGTAGCAATGATCTGTCAATATGTGGACAACTTTAGCTAGTAATTTTCTTCTTCCAATCCTGTAGTACACACCCATTTCTTTAAAAAAAATATTTTAAAGGCTTAACATTATATCACAAACTTACATTTCTAGGCATAGAATATCACATCATTACTGTTAATTGATACGAAACCCAGTATAGGTTTAAAATAATTAATTTCTTGTTCATTTTCCTAGTGTTTTGATGTCCTCAAAAAGCTTTTGTGAAAGAAAAATATATTTATCTCTTACCAGGCTTTGTGACCCAAGAACGTTCTTCTCTTCAAGATTATCTTTTGTCAATAATTAACACGGAAAAATGCTGAGACCTTCATACCGTCTACAGTACATTTGCTCCATTTTTCCAAATTATGCGAGAGTTATTTGCAGTAGACAAGACAGATTTTCACTTTCAGTCATTAAACAATAGCAGTCATTCCTCCTCTCCTCCCCACACACACACTCAAAGAAACACACACACTGTTAGGATACCAAAATGAAAGAAGAGAAGCCAAAATAAGATATTTACTAAAGCACAATAAGCTTAGTTCAGATACTGAAAACAAATTCCTCAACTGAGCATGGACTCAAATGTGTCCTGTTTCTCAAAAATCTGAATATTTGACTTATTCTGAGATGCACAACTTCTATTTGGTAAACCTCAAGGTCTAGTCCAGGTGTGGAGAAAGTGTAGCCCTTGAACCCCATTTCTGCAGCATACAAATTCCACTGCCCTCTTTTAAGATATATTCTGACCACTTGGGTAAACATTTTGTCTGAAATTGAAGAAAATGGTCAACAAACAAACTCCATTATCCTTTTGAATCCCCAAGCCCTTAGAATTCATTTTTTCAGGATTAAATTAGCCCAAAATTCTGCTGCACCAAGAAACCCAAATGCAGGTTGTACCAGGAGCAAAAGCTAGTCCCACACACCACACAGTTGGACGCTCCTATTGAAGATCAAAGATGAATGAGATCCCACAAGACTAAAGTTGTTACAGCCCGAAAAACCTACAACAACCCAGTGATTCCGGCCATGAAAGCCTTCGACATTACAAGACTAAAGTTATTAGTCACTGTGCTAAACATTCATGTCAAACTATATTGCAGTGCTGAATTTGCACCTATTCGGAAACACTTTTCAAACAAGAAACAGTGAACAGCAAGTTTGCTAATTTGAGAGTTAGTGGTACAATGGTTTCTAAACTGATTCACGGCCTGGTAGAAAGATAAGTTTTAGAATCACTGGATTGCTTTCCAATGTAGGCTCATGCAACTTGGATAAAGGAAGCAGACTTTCCACCACTTTCTTTTCTTCACAGCAGTCCCTCCAACTTGAGAAATGCTACACAGAAGGCCACTGCACCCTGCTGAATGAGTGGGCTGTATTGTGAAAAATGGAGTGCCAAAATTAAACAAAGGTACCTTCCTTCAGTGAGGTCCTCTGTTTCTGGATAGCAAATCCTGGATTCAGCGATTCCAAACCAATCTAGGAAACTTGAGATGGACTAGTTGAAAAATGCCTCCAGAATCTTATAGTTTGTTTTGTGAATTGTGCTGCTGTCCAGGGGTTAAAGTTTGTCCTAACTTCCCAAACTCACATCATAAACTTACTAGACTGATTGACGGAATAAATAACTGAAATCCTACATCAGGTTTGCCTAGTATATATTTTCACATACAGAGTTACACAGTAATTGTACTACACAAGCCTTGTGTTTAAAATGGCTCTGTTGCACAACTGAATCATGACATTAAATGCACAACCAAATCTTCAACCAATGTGTATCCAAGTGCAGTATGCATCCAAGTACAATATATACGGTATGTACATATACAATGCAGTTACACATTTGCTATAGCAATATGTGCACAGCTCAGCTTCTGCAACTTTGAACTAAAGGTAGGCATTTTGCATTGGACAAAAATGTTTCTATAGGGCAACTTATACATACGAGAAAAAAAACAGGATTCCAGCAAGTGGTTTGTTTTTAAATCGTACACTAGTTGCCTGATGTCGAACAGCCAGGGAAATGCTAACATCTTATGATTCTGACTGGGCTTTAGCACAGCAGGTTAAACCACCAGCTGCAGTAAATCTTGTCAGTTGAAAGGCTGCCAGTTTGAAGCCCGGCTCATGGTGAGCTCCTGGTCTTTAACCCAGCTTCTGCATACCTAGTGGTTTGAAAGCAAATGTGAGTAGATAAATAGGTACTGCTTAAAAGCGGGGAGATATTCTGAGGCACCCATAAGGCGATTTGATTAAAGGAGGAGTAATGAACGAAAGCTCTTCAGCAGGGAGATGGAGCGGCAGCACCTCCCGCCCCCCATGGCCGGAACCAAGCACAAAGCCTTCAAGATGCTAAAGATGAGAAAAGCCAATATATACATCTATCTACGTGCAATTGTCTGTCTTGTTTGTATATAAAACAGCATTGAATGTTTGCTGCATATGTATGTTCTGTGATCCGCCCTGAGTCCCCTTTGAGGTGTGAAGGGCAGAATATAAATACTGCAAATAAATAAATACATACATACATACAGTTAAATTGAGTCTAAATCGTGTTTATGCACAAGTCATTTGATATTTCCATATTTTAAAAAACCCACCATGTAAGCTGATGGCTGACCTCCATTTTCCAGTTTGAGTTTATATCAGGACTAAGCACTGTCTACAATGACCAAGCCCAGCTGGTACAACATATATAGGGTATATTTTATAGGATAATTAAAGACCCCCAGTGGCGTGGTGGATTAAACCACTGAGCTGCTGAACTTATTGACTGAAAGATTGCAGGTTCGAATCCGGGGAACGGCATGAGCTCCTGCTGTTAGCCCCAGCTTCTGCCAACCTAGCAGTTCGAAAACATGAAAATATGAGTAGATTAATAGGTACCGCTCCAGCGGGAAGGTAACAGCGCCCCATGCAGTCATGCCAGCCACATGACCTTGGAGTTGTCTACGGACAATGCTGGCTCTTCGGCTTAGAAATGGAGTTGGACATAACTGGACTTAATTTACCTTTACCTTAAAGACTAATAATTGAGTGAAAGTGTTTTCAGAACAAAAAAATTATAGTACCTTATTCTGATTATGCTGCTGTCCAGACAGATGGTGGACACTATATGCAAATACTTGAAAACTCTTCCTTAGTATTAAGATGCAGTAGACATGTATGGCTGCAACTGCACGTGCCCTGATCCAATAATGTCTAACAGGAAGAGGCACACCAGTCTATGTACACAGCACCTTGACTGCAAAGCCTACCACTGAAGGATTATGAACCACATACATATTCCATATGTAGAACTGATTCCTTCGGTGAAGAAATGAGGGCAGCCCATGAACACAAAGAAGGCCCATTGATCATCCAGAGTTCATACAGAGTTATAAATATTTTATAATTGTTGTACCATATCAAAACAAAGAGAGCCCTACCAACAATCAAGGTAATGCCCATACTGAGGGAGCTGACCCATGCTGTCAAGCCTCGGCTCTGGCTGAATTCCTCAAGCCATTCCATGTTGAGAATCCCAAGGGCCATTTGCGATCCCATGATGAGAACATGTACCAGGAAAGAAGACAGTATAATCATCCATGCCCATCCTCCATCAATGTCTGGATTTGACCTAAGTTTCTTCTCCCTTTCTTTGGACTCATCTCCAAATTCATATCCAATATCCTCATGGCTGGCATACATCTTGCGTTGAGTATTCTGAAACAGACAGATAAAATGTACTCACTGAGCCTTGAAAAGTAAAGCTAAACACTGCTTTTCATAGTTTTTTCATATCAAATTCTTCATCAACCTAAATAAAAAATTGAACTCTCTTAACTACATTTCATGTTTTTCTAGATATGAGCTTAGAAAGGTGCTGTTTTGCCACCACCTGGAATGTCCACCTTCGACAAAACCATGGAAAGTTAGGACTGCTTCATATCATTTTAACTAGTAGCCAAAGTTACTCAATTGTTGGTTACATAATATATATTGATATGTTTAATAAATTTCATACTTAAAGGACATTACATATATATATAGCACACACATATACTATACCTGAAGTTGGCCAAACCACGAACGAACTGGGAGGTATGCTCACAACTCCTCTTCCAATTCAAGACCGTTACTTCAGCTTTTCAATGGTGCATAAAATAATGTCTCTGTCACTTGACTTGCCCATTTGGATGTGCTGAAATTATATTTTCTACTTCAGTTCCTCCAGCTGACCTAAGGAAAGGGGACAATGACCACAAGCAAGATCAGAATTAACCCACTTGCTGATTTCAGTGTACATCCATCTGCAATGACTTGTTTACCATAATTAAGCCATCTGTTGCCTATTCAGAAGATCCTGAAACATAACTCCCCTCTGTGCTGAGCCCTGTCAATCTAAAATCTCATAAAGATATGCTAAATTTTAATCAAATATGCTTGCTTCTGAACTTTTATATATATGTACAAAGAATCTGTCTCTTAATGCAGGCAAGGTAACGTGCTACTTTTACTGGCAAATATACCAAGCAATAATGTGTGTGTGTCTGTGCCTTCAAGTTGCCTGTTGAAATGTAGCAAACCCATGCATTTCATAGGGTTTTCTTAGGCAATTAATACTCAGAAGTGATTTTACCAGAACTTTCCTATGAAATACAGCCTATGGCACCTAGTATTCATTGGCGGTCTCCCATCCAAGTGCTACCGAGGGCTGACTTTGCTTAGCTTAGATGGCATATGGTGCCTTTGGGGTATTGGGTCCTCTAAGCAATCTGACTATGGTAGCAAGAGTTACAGTTACTGGTAGTTTTTATAAGACTTTACCAAAATAATATATAACCTCTTATTTATGCTAGAAAAAAACTTCAGATCATAGAATCATAGAGTTGGAAGAGCCCTCATGGGCCATCCAGTCCAACCCCCTGCCAAGAAGCAGGAAAATTGCACTCAAAGCACCCCTAACAGGTGGCCATCCAACCTCTGTTTAAAAGCTTCCAAAGAAGGAGCTTCCACCGCACTCTGGGGCAGAGAGTTCCACTGCTGAACAGCTCTCACAGTCAGGAAGTTCTTCCTAATGTTCAGATGGAATCTCCTTTCTTGTAGATGACAATTATTCTTTCTATCCCACCTTTTCCCTAGATCATGACTAAAACAGCTTATAACAATTAAGAAGACAAAAATAAACAAGTCAAAGCAAAATTAAACAATTAAAATACTAAAACCAGGTTAAAACATACATACACACACTAAGACAATGAGCACATTCAAGATCCAGTCCATTGTATAAGATGAGTTTTATATAGTCACTCATCAAATGCCTTTTGGAATAGAAACGTCTGAAGATGAGCGCCGTTATTTTATTGATATGATTTAAGTTTTACATTGGTCTTATTTGATTTTACTACTGTTAGTCCAACAAATAAAATATAAATCAGATATCATTTCTTACATTAGTCGGAGCTTGGAACAGTTTTTAGACCACATAATCCCCCAAGCAGCACCACAGGCAACTACCAATAGACAGATGCAACCAGGATACTTCAGAAGTTCTTTCTATCACTATTAGCAGCAGGGCTAGGAATCAAAATCTTTACTTTGTATAAACTCTTGGCAGTGAATACTTTTTATGCTGTAACCCATTGTTTATTTTTATCTCTGGGTATTGCCACTGTAAATACACTCAGAAACAGTAAAGGTCACTTGCCAAAAACATACACACATGTATCAGCTGGACAGAGCTAGGATAGGACACCGGCCCTCACCTCACCACTGACTCAGAGCAGCCTTGACCTAGGTCACGGTCTCAGTCACTCCCTGGTCAGAATACAGCCACACAGCTCAGGGTCATGCAGAGTGGGGTTACCAAAGAGAAAGCCCTGGAGTAGCTCAGCTCAACACCAAGGAGTGTGACTTATTCATAATCAAATTAAGCATGCAGGTCCCAAATGCTACAATGACATCTTGTAACAGACTCTCATCCTATGACTGCATTTTTGGAAATCAATCCACTATAAAATATTATAGTATTATAGTTGACCCTCCACATTTGCAGGTTTAACTCTTGTGGATTATTAATGGATTTTGTGATATGGGATCTCTAGGAATGGAAGGACTTAGAGATTCCTAGAGAGGTTTTTTCTCTAAACAAAGAACATTTTTTTATTTGCAGATTTTTCTATTTTTGCTGTGATCCTGCACCCCTAACTGAATTTGAAGAGCTGACAGTATTACAGAGTAGCTATTTCTGTATCTCATTTAGTATTCGATCATTACATCAGAGCCCCCGGTGGCGCAGTGGGTTAAACCCCTGTGCCGGCCTGACTGAAGACCGACAGGTCACAGGTTCGAATCTGTGGAGAGCATGGATGAGCTCCCTCTATCAGCTCCAGCTCCCCATGCGGGGACATGAGAGAAGCCTCCCACAAGGATGATAAAACATCAAAACATCCGGGCATCTCCTGGGCAACATCCTTCCAGACGGCCAATTCTCTCACACCAGAAGCGACTTGCAGTTTCTCAAATCACTCCTGACATGACAAAACAAATTACATCAGTTTGGTATGGGATCCTGTAGATCTAATCAGGCATTCAGTAAGCATGTGTACTACACATGAGAAAGGGAAGATACTAGCAATCTCCCAATGCACTGCCTTTTGTTATCATTTTCCCCACACAAAACTAATATGCCTGAAAAGGGACTCCTCTTGTATCTGTGTAAGCTCTCCACTTACACCATAGCATTAAAAAATTGGCTTCTGGCTTATATAAAGAGATCTTATATAAATACTAACTGTCCCCTGCCACACATTCCTGTAGCCCAGTCTGTGTATATGTGTTTTGTGTGTATATATATGTGTGTATACGTGTGTGTATAAATTTGTGTATATGTGTATATATGTGGTTACGAGCATGCGTTGTAATGTGTTTTTTGTTTTTTTGCTTTTTAAGTCTCTTCCATTGTGTTTTCCAGTGTTTTTATGAGTGATAGTCACTCGTTGGCCTGACAGGTGTATTGTGTCCAAATTTGGTGTCGATTTGTCCAGTGGTTTTTGAGTTATGTTAATCCCACAAACGAACATTACATTTTTATTTATATACAAGAGGCCATCCCTTTCAATCATATTGCGTTCATAAGAGAGAGAAAAGATAAAGAAGGAGACATGCTCCCTTCCTTGCAAGTGGAGTGCATATTTGCTGAATATATATAGCAGGTATAGCTCACCCTAAACAATTTCACAGGATTTAGGACACATTAGATGGCAAAGAACTAAACTAGCCACAGATTTTTAGGCCACTAGTGCCATATCACACTACACAAAACACATTTACTTGGACATCATGCAATGTTAGGTCTCCAATTGTTCTTCAACTAGTATTTTGTCTGTCCTTAGAATCATAAGAGTGTGAAGATACTACAATAGGATGGACAAACTTCGTCCCTCCAGGTGTTTTGGACTTCAACTCTCACAATTCCTAACAGCCTACTGGCTGTTAGGAATTGTGGGAGTTGAAATCCCAAACACCTGGAGGGTTGAAGTTTGCCCATGCCTGTACTACAAGGACCATCTAGTACAAACCCTTGCCATGCAGGTACACTCAATGAAAGTACTCCCAACCTCCAAAGAAGCAGAGTCCCAACCCCCGCTGAAGCAGTCTATTCTACTACTATAGTCATAGACAGCTCCCTATTGTTTCCTTCAATCCTTCAAGAGACTGAAATGGGAAGGCCCTCTCACCACTCACATATTGCCACCTCCCCAACTGGCAGAGTAGTCCATATGGAAGAGGGAATGTCACTCTTCTCTCCAATCAGTGATCCAAGAGACTAGCAGGTTCCTCAAAGTCCTTCTCATCTTCCCACTGGGAAGACCAAACAGCATGCAGATAAATCCCTCTGGATTGGAAGAATGGTGTCCAAAGGTATATAAGTGGACAGATGAGGAAACTTTGTGGACCAGATTTGACCTATGAGACAGACGCTCTCTCCTCGAGTCTAAGGGAGGGACAGGGAATTTGTGACTTTCTAACATTGGCTATAGAAATCCAACAACATGGGGGAGGGTTGTTATACATTCCCTTTTACCCAACAAGAGGATCCAAATATTATCTCAAGACAAGATTTCTAAGAAGCAATATGTTTGCAGGGCTTAGCATATCTCTGAATTGAAAGGATATTTGCATAAAACTCTGAGTCTTTCCTTTTCCATCTTTGAAGGTAATCCTCCAGGCTTGCAAAACAGGCTGAAGCATAATTGCATCACGGACACGAAATGTTTTTGAAAAAGGAAAGGAAAATGCAAAGGGCTCTTCCACATAAACATACAGGTCAAACGCTGTTATGTTTCACCATCAACTATCTTTCAAATAACAAAGACATAATTGATGTGACAGTTACTGACACAGCAATTGCAAAGATAGGAGGTAGCATTTTTTGCGCCTTGTGCAGATGAAGGAAGTGTGCAATGCAATAGTCTGTGACATTGTGTTCTGCCAGAGTTCCCTTTCTCTTAGGGCTAACTAACATATAGAAGTCCTACGGGAGCAACTCAAGATATTCTGCCGCCTAAGGCAGAGCAGAAATAAAACCTCTCCCTTCGAAACCACAGTGCTTAGTACGTTCTCAAGGCCAGCCAAGTTATTTTGGCACTTGAAGCAGAAAATTTCAAAAACACCTCTCCTCATTTCTTTGGCATTAAAAGTAGAGCAATAACAATGTAAATAGCAAAGTGCAGCCTTTTCACGATACCTTACATTTGCCTCCTGTCTTGGTGACTCTGCTTAATGGTATGGATAGCCCTGTATCCTGCTCCAAAAAAACTTTTCCGGATAAAACTGTATGGAATGTATTTTGCTGGAATCATATAACATGTTTTTCACAATAATGGAAAACCAGGCCATATTGCTACACACTTCGCATGCAATCCTGGCAAATGGCATAAATTAATATCTCTTGCACAAACATGTGAGAGGGCCCTTCTCAGTGATTGCTTCCAGGCACTGTAACAACTTCCTTCCTACTGAAGGTGCTTTCAGACAGCACTAAATCATGGGTTTTAAACAGGGGACTTCAAAAGAGGTCCATATACAGACCTGTTGGTCCCAAGACTTCTGCCTCTGTTACCCAGACTTGATGCTTTGTTGTGGGATTTAGAGGCTCCCAAGTTGACCACTGCGGGACTTCCACTGGAAACTTCAGCAGTTTTTTTTTAAAAAAATCAAGATGCAGATTTGCAGGGAATCACTGCACCAAATCACTGCAAAAGGTCAATTCTTTGTCCTGGCCAGAAAAACTGCGCCCTCCAGACATTTCATGCAGTATCTGCCACACATACAAAGTTTGCGGTGTAGGACCACTTCAGCCCAAGTCAGTACTGCACAATCAAACAGGAACACACACTTTCAAGCCAGGAACAGAATTTTGTCATTACTGCCACTTTTTAGAGCTTGGATGCCTGGCCATCTGTCCAGACAGATTTGATTGTGTACTTGTGGCATCAAACAACAGGGTGTTCTTCCTGGGTTATACAGGCTATTCCTGATTGCCCTTCTTGTGAAAAGATATACAACATTGACTAGGAGGCCACAACTTTGTCCTGATCAGAGAAAATGTGCCCTCCACACATTTCATGAAGTTTCTGTCACACAAAGTTTTTGCCTTCTACTCAAGTGTCACCTTTTTTTAAGGAACCGACCAATCAGGAACAAACATCTAAAACTCGGGAACAAACCCAAATAAAAAATCCCGTGATTTCCGATTGCAGGGACATACAGACATGTGAAGATCCACATATGCGGCTGAAAACTGCAATATTCCCACACCTGGAATAGTTTTTTGCCTTTTGTAGCGATTGCTTCCGTGTTTACAGGGAACGGTGTCTGGCCACCCTTCTGCTTGCTGCGGAAGCTCCTAGGGTAACTGTACTGTCTGGACGGGCCAGAATAATGCAGGCAGAAAAACCCACAACATCTGCTTTGTACTGGAATATCTGAGTCCACACTGCCATATAGCTCAGTTTAAAGCAGATAATGTGGCATTTTATTCAGCAGTGTGGAAGGGGGCTGAGACTAGACTGGTGCCCTCCTTGATATCCTTCCAAAAGGAGGTGAATGCCTTTTTTGTTTTAGCAGGCCTTTGAAGATTGATTGTTCATAGAGAAAAGACCTTTAATAATGTGCTATATTGTCTATGTTTGTTTTGCTTTTTTAGTGGACATGCCTTTAACTGCTTTTACTTCAGTTGATAGTTCAATTCTTTTTCAACATTTGAATGAATCATATATTGTTGTTGCTACCTTTTGTAAGTCACCTCCAGCCCCAGAACTGGGAAGAAGGCAAGATCTAAACAAACAAGCAAGCCTGGGAAATTACGCTTTGGACAACAGTTCCTAGAACTCTCCATGATTGTTAAGTGGTTGTCAAGTTGCAATCCAAATAGGTCTGAAAACTGCTTTCCACATAGGAATTATGCAGTCTTTATTTATGAAAGCTAAATAGTGATGCAAGTGTCTAGTCCAGTCTCAGAGGCACAGCAGAACATATCCCGATCCCTCACTCTCTTCACATGTGCAGAGCTGACATCTGGCCCTAGTCAGTAAATAAAATTGCATCACTAAATGTCTCCCAATTCAATTTTATGTGCCGCACACATAATTGCCATACAGACAGCTGAAATTAAACTTTGTTTGATGGAAGTTCATGTGGGAACCAAGAAAGACGAAACTGTAATCCTGAACATGTTTATTTGGATTGGGGGAGGGGTCAGCCATGGAAGACATCGCCTCCATCCAAAATAAGAATTTTACTTCAGAAGAGCATTGAGAAACAGAGTTTAGTCATTCAAAGAAAAACGGTGATTTGAGCATTGTACTACAACTGTGGGAGCTCATGCCGCTCTCCGGATTCGAACCTGCAACCTTTCAGTCATCAAGTTCAGCAGCTCAGCAGTTTAACCCACCACGCCACTGGGGGTCTTTAATTATCCTATAAAATATACCCTATATATGTGGTACCAGCTGGTCTTGGTCATTGTAAACAATGCTTAGTCCTGATATAAACTCAAACTGGACAATGGAGGGCAGCCATCAGTTTACAACATGGTGGGTTTTTAAAACATGGAAATATCAAATGACTTGTGCCTAAACATGATTTGAACCGCCAACCTTTTGGTCAGCAAGTTCAGTAGCTCAGTGGTTTAATCCACTGCATCACCAGGGGTCCTGCCTTAATGGCTCCAAATAAACATTACCTGCAGGACACCTTGCAAAACTGCCCTGGGTTATGCTTTTAAATGACATCATGAAGGAAAATAGCAGATTCCAAGCTCATTGGAGAAAATACATTGAAGTCAGCAGTACGTGACAGGATCTTGTAGCACCTTAAAGACTGAAAGAACAAAGCTGATAGCATAAACTTTCACAAACTAAGTCTACTTCGTGGGTTGTTGTAGGTTTTTCCGGGCTATATGGCCATGTTCTGGAGGCAATTTTTCTCCTGACGTTTCGCCTGCATCTATGGCAAGCATCCTCAGAGGTAATGAGGTCTGTTGGAACTAGGAAAAATAGGTTTATATATCTGTGGAATGACCAGGGTGAAACAAAGGACTTCTTCAGATTACTTCAGTCTACTTCTTCAGATTACTTTTGTAGACTTTCCCACATGACAATACGGTATTCACATAAAATAATTCATTTCACATCTTAAAGACCTGCATCCTATTCTTAGTCCAAACTAGATTAGAATCCCATATGAAATTTACCATGTGTCGACATGCCATTTAACAACTGGCTATGAAAGCTTATGCTACTAACTTCATTCTTTCAGTTAAGATTCTAGGATACTACAAGATTCCTTTGCATACTTGTATTCCAGACTAAGGGTGCATCTACACTGTAAAATGAATGCAGTTTGACACCACATTAATTGCCATGGCTCAATGCCTAGATTAAGTTCCGAATCTTTCCAGGTATCTAATTAATCTGGAGTAAACTAGGAAATCCCAGTTTACTCCAGATTAATTCGGGTTTACCTGAGGTGTCATTTGGACACTTCAGGTAAACCCGAGTCAGGTCCCGGGATATGGGCCTGTCCGAATGGGTCCTTAGTAGACCATAAGATGAACATGAGTCAACAGTGTGATGCAGCAGCTAAAAAAGACAACGCAATTCTAGGCTGCATCAACAGGATTATAGTGTCAAGATCAAGGGACGTCATTGTTCCACTCTATTCTGCTTTACCTGGAATAACCCTGTGCACAGTTCTGGACACCGAAATTTAAGAACATTGACCAGTTGGAACGTGTCCAGAGAAGAGCCACCAAAACGATCAAAGTCTAGAAAGCAAGACTTCTGAGGAGCGGCTGAGAGAGCAAGATTGTTTATCTTGGGGCAAAAGGAGGCAGGGAGGGGACATGATAGCCATGTTGAAATTTTTGAAAGGATGTCACATTGAGGAGAAAGGAAAGTTGTTTTCTGCTGCTCTGGAGACTAGAGCATGGAGCAATGGATTCAAATTGCGGGGTGGGGGGGGGGGACCTTCCACACAGCCATATATTCCAGAATATCAAAGCAGAAAATCCCACAATATCTGCTTTGAACTGGGTTATCTGAGTCCACACTGCCATCAAAGCAGATAATGTGGGATTTTTTCCCTTAATATTCTGGGATATAGGACTGTGTGGAAGGCCCCTGGGTTGATGTGAGTTTTTTGGGCTGTGTGACCATGTTCGTGAACGTGGTTATATGACGCAAAAAACTCACAGCAACCCAGTGATTCCAGCCTTGGACATTGTGAAGAACTTTCTGGTGATTAGAACTGTTCAGTAGTGGATGATGCTGCCTCAGAGTCTGGTGGTGTCTCCTTCTCTGGAGGCTTTTTAACAGAGGCTAGAATGGCCATATGTTGGGGGTGCTTTATGTGTTTCTGCATGGAAGAAGGGGGGGTTGGATTGGATGGCCTTTGGGATGGCTTCAACTATTCCACTAATTGTCTCCTCACCTCCACACACACATAGGCACCCTCCCCCTCTCTCCAGATATACACTATATGTTTATATAATGTACACTATACACACTATACACTTAAGCGGCTGTCGGGGAAAAGGAAAGGGCCTGAGGCTGTTAGGAATGGTGAGAGTTGAAGTCCAAAACACCTGGAGGGTCCAAGTTTGCCCATACCTGTTGTAGATCCACCCTAACCCTGTTTCTCCCACGCTTATGCCTGATATAGATCTACCCTAAGTCTTCTTCTCCCATGCCCATGCCTGATGGAGATCCACCCAAAGTCTTCTTCTCCCATACCCATGTCTGATGGAGATCCACCCTAAGTCTTCTTCTCCCATGTCCATGTCTGATGGAGATCCACCCTAAGTCTTCTTCTCCCATGCCCATGCCTGATGTAGATCCACTCTAGGTCTTTTTCTCCCATGCCCATGCCTGATAGAGATCCAATCTAGGTCTTTTTCTCCCATGCCCATGCCTGATGGAGATCCACTCTAGGTCTTCTTCTCCCATGCCCATGCCTGGTAGAGATCCACTCTAAGTCTTCTTCTCCCATGCCTGATGGAGATCCACTCTAGGTCTTCTTCTCCCATGCCCATGCCTGGTAGAGATCCACTCTAGGTCTTCTTCTCCCATGCCCATGCCTGATGTAGATCCACCCTAAGTCTTCTCCCATGTCCATGCCTGATGGAGATGCACCCTAAGTCTTCTTCTCCCATGCCCATGCCTGATGTAGATCTATCCTAAGTCTTTTTCTCTCATGCCCATGCCTGATGGAGATCCACCCTAAGTCTTCTTCTCCAACCACAAAAATGCTGAGCTAGGGTCTGGTCTCTCCTTCTGCCTCTCTTTTGAGACCAAACAGGGAGCCCCATTTCTTCGGGGAACTCAGAAGACCCCCAACAGGCCCTAAAACCCCGGCACTGGCTACTCAAAGAGCAGAGACCCCCCCTCCACTCCCACCCCGCCCGAGGAACCCTGGGGGGAGAGAACCAGGGAGCAAGAAGAGAGCAGTGACCGCGAGTTACCTCCCTGCAGTAGCAGCAGAAGCAGCAGCAGAAGCAGCAAACCTTCCCGCCGAGAGCAGACAAAGCCTCTGCGCCTCCATCGGGGCTGCCAGCCAGCCAGCCAGCCAGCCCTGCCTTGCCTTGCCTTGCCTTGCCCCTCCTTCCCTCCCTGGCAACACGGTTGGAGGGCAAGCCCTGGCACAGCCGCTGACTCACCCCAGGAGGGAGCCCCGGGGATCCAGCTCTTCCTCTCCAAAGCCATCCAGGGATGCTGCCCGCCGGGCTCAGCGGCATCTCCTGCGCTCTCTCCTGGCCTCACGCCTTGCCTCCTCCTGGAAGCTCTCTGGCCCTCCCCCGCTCACCTGCGGGCACCTCTGCCCAAACTGGCCCTCTACCAGCTCGGTCTGGTTGGCCCCCGCGTCGCCGCGTGGAAGAAGGCGCTGGTGGGAGGAAGCGCAGGCGTGGGTTTGCCAGGGGAAGGCTTCCTTTCCTCCGGAGACCCAACCAGAAGCCAAGGGAGGCCCCTTCCGCACATTTCAAGTCCCACATTATCAGCTTTGAACTGGATTATATAGCAGTGTGGACTCAGGTCTCTTTCACACAGCCAGATAACCCAGAATATCAAGGCAAAAAAATCCCACAATATCTGCTTTGAACAGGGATATCTGAATCCACACTGCCATATATTCTATATATTTCCTTTGCAATGCCAAAATACAGCTTAATGGGGTTTTTTTTTTATTTTCTAAACATTAGAAAATGTTCACCATTTCTACTTCCTTGACAGCCACCTTTCCACAAAAGTCAACATTGACACTGGAATACAACATTGCCTGAGCTCTGCAAGTGCAGCATTTTCCCAACTGAAGCAGAGAGTGTTTGAGACATCCGCAGGAAGGCCAAGGTGCTTGTTTTCCCAACCCTTTTATATGCCTGCGATGACATGATGGCAACAGTCTTGGACAGCAGTGGCTCCCAAAGTGACCCATTTAAGGTGGAATCAGGTGTCAAACAGGGATGTGTTATTACCCCAACCTTCTTTTCCATCTTCATCGCTATATTTCATCTTGTTGATGGGAAGCTTCCCGCCAGAGTGGAAATCATCTATCGAACAGATGGCAAGCTATTTAACCTCAGCAGACTGAAAGCCAAGACCAAGGTCACAGCAACATCTGTTATAGAACTCCGGTATGTTGATGATAATGTCATTTGTGCGCATTCAGAAGAAGACTTACAAGCCACTATAAACACCTTTGAACATCGAGAAAACCAAAGTGCTCTTTCAGCAGGCACCAGCCAATCCCTCTGCAATGCCAGAAATACAAATACAATAATGGTGTAACATTAGAAAATGTTGATCATTTCTGCTACCTTGGCTGCCACCTCTCCACAAAAGTCAATATTGACACTGAAATACAACAGCACCTAAGCTCTGCGAGTGCAGCATTCTTCCGAATGAAGCAGAGAGTGTTTGAGGACTGGGACATCCGTAGGGATACCAAGGTGCTTGTTTATAAAGCCATTGTCCTCCCAACTCTGCTATATGCCTGTGAAACGTGGACTGTCTACAGACGTCACGCTCACCTGCTGGAATGATTACATCAGTGTTGCCTCCAAAAAATCCTGCAAATCTCTTGGGAAGAAAGGAGGACAAATATCAGCGTGCTGGAAGAAGCAAAGACCACTAGTATTGAAGTGATGCTCCTCCGCCATCAACTCCGCTGTCTGAATGCCTGATCACCATCTCCCAAAGCAGTTACTATACTCCCAACTCAAGAACAGGAAATGTAATGTTGGTGGAAAGGAACAGAGCTTTAAAGATGGGCTTAAAGCCAAGCTTAAAAACTGTGGCATAGACAACAACTGGGAAGCTCTGGTCTTTGAGCGCTCTAACTGGAGACCAGTTGTGACCAGCAGTGCTGCAGAATTCAAAGAGGCACAAATGGAGGGCGAAAGGGGGAAATGTGCCAAGAGGAAGGTGCGTTAAGCCAACCTCGACTGGGACAGCCTCCCACCTGGAAACCAATGTCCTCATTGTGGCAGAACATGCAGATAAAGAATAAGGCTCCACAGCCACCAACGGACCCACCGCTAAGACACTACACTTGGAGGACCATCATCCTCGGGCTATGTAGGATAGCCTAAGAAGAAGCAGCAAGATATTCCAGTTCAAAGCACATGATGTGAGATTCTATTCAGCTCTGTGGAAGGAGCCTCAGATAACCAAGGTCAAAGCAGATATTGTGGATTATCTACCTTGATATTCTAGTTTCTATGCCTATTTAGAGGCGCTCAGAGTTCAGTCTGCCAGCCCACCCACCAATTTGGGAGGCCTTGTGTGCTGTTTACTTACAGCCCGAGAGCATTTCATGGAAAAGGGTGGAAGCCTTGAGAAGTTCGAGGGAAGGGAGGGAAGGGAACCTTTTGCCAGAGGACCAAGCCAAAGCCTTGGCCGACCTCCAGTTCCAGAAATGCGCTCACTACACATCCTTGGCCTCTCTCTCTGTCTTGTATTTTTCTCCCCTCAGGAGCCTCTTTCACACCAGAGACTTACAGAACTTTTGAAATTGCCAGCCACAGATGCAGGCAAAACGTCAGGAGAGAATGCTACTAGAACATACTATAAAGCCTTCAACGGCCCCAGCCCAACTTACCTCTCTGAATGCGTCTCCCTCTATGAACCATCATGGAGGTTAAGATCTTCTGGGGAGGCCCTGTTCTCAGTCCCACCACATTCACAGGTACAGCTGGTGGGACAAGAGACAGGGCCTTCTCAGTGGTGGCTCCTCAGCTGTGGAACTCCCTCCCTAGTGGGATTCAATCGGCTCCTTCCCTCCTGTCATTTCACAAACAAATGAAAACTTGGCTTTGGGAGCAAGCATTTGACCCAGCATAATTATCTGTGCAATACAGTTGGAATTGACCCAGGATTGACGAATATGATTATTTGACTATCTGGCTTTGGATCTGTGCACAATAGTCATCTAATGTTTACATATGTTAATTTAATGTTGTTTTAAATTGTTGTTTAATTGCTTTTAATTGTTATTGTTATTTGGGCAAGGAATAATGCCAATTATGTAAGCCGCCCTGAGTCCCCTTTGGGGTGAGAAGGGCAGGAAATAAATGGCATACATAAATAAATAAAATAAACATGGCCACACAGCCCGAAAAACTCACAACAATCCAGTGCTTCTGACCATGAAGGTCTTAGACAACACACTCATGAGTTAGTTTGCAGGGCGACATTAAAAAATGATAGCTGCTCTAGCTCTTCTGAAAGGTTTTGAAACCTCCCATACGGTCAAACAAGCCCATAAAAATGGATCTCGCATCTTAACTTGAATTACAAAGTTGGAAGAGACCACAAGAACCATCCACTCCAACCCCATTCTGTAGTCAAAGCTCCCCTGACAGATGGTCATCTTCCAGCCTCTGTTTAAAAGCCTCCAAAGAAGGAGACCACCACTCTGCAAGGCAGACCTATGCTGCTATCAAACAGATGTATTTATTTATATTTATTTAAAACATTTATACTCCGTCCTTCTCGACCTCCGAGGAGGGACTCAGAACGGCTTCCAAACAGGCAACAATTCAATGCCAAACATAATACAATACACATAATAAACACATCCATATACATTATAATAGTTAAAAATATATATTAGAACCAGTTCGACAGATTAATATTGCCAGATTAAAATCGTCGTCCAATTAAGTCCAAGTGCGGTTCAATAAAACCTTTTCTTTCCCAGTAAAACAAACTATTCTGTGAACGCTTGATCCCATAACCAGGATTTAAGTTTCTTCAGGTCAGAATGGAGGGAGTTTCACAGCTGAGGGGCCACCATAGAGAAGGCCGTGTCTCTCGTCCCCACCAAACACGACTGCAATGGCAGTGGGACCGAGAGCAGGGTCTCCCCAGATGATCTTAAGGTCCTAGATGGTTCGTAGAGGGAGATACATTCAGACAGGTAAACTGGGCAGTAATCATTTAGGGCTTTATAGGATAACACCAGCACTTTGAATCAAGCCCGGAAGCTAATAGGCAGCCAGTGGAGCTGGTATTGTAAAGGAGGTCTAACCACCAGGAAGTTCTTCCTTAATGTTTAGGTAGAATCTTTTTTTCTGCAGCTTGAATCCATCATTCTGTGTCCTTGTCTCCAGAACAACCAACAAACATGCTTGCCACCTTCTCAGTGTGACATGCTTTCAAATATTTAAGCATAGCTATCATGTCCCCTCTGGTGGTGCAGTGGGTTAAACCGCTGATATGCTGAGCTTGCTGACCGAAAGATTGGTGGTTCGAATCCGGGGTGCAGGGTGAGCTCCTCCTGTTAGCCCCAGCTTCTCCCAGGCTAGCAGTTCAAAAACATATAAATGTGAATAGTTCAATAAGTACCGCTTCTGTGGGAAGGTAATGGCACTCCATGCAGTCATGCTGGCCACATGACCTAGGAGGTGTCAACGGACAATGCTGGCTCTTCAGCTTAGAAATGGAGATGAGCACCACCCTCCAGAGTTGGACATGGCTAGATGTAATGTCAGGGGAAACATTTACCTTTTTATAATGTCCCCTCTCAACTTTCTTTTCACCAGGTTCTCAAAGCCACTCCTCTTAGGAATGGTCAAAGGTTTCCAGACCTTTGACCATTTTGGTCTCCCTTCTCTGGGCCTGTTCCAGCTTGTCAGTATCTTTCTTGAAGGGATCTGGAATCACCTTTAGAGACCGAGAGAACAAAGTTGGTAGCATAAAGGTTTCATAGACTAAGTCTACTTCCTCAGATGACTTTCGTAGACTTTCCCCACACAAAACAACAATTTAAAAATAAACCATTTCACATTTTGAAGATGACTATCCACATCCTATTATTAGTCCCAACTGGATTTGAATCAATGTGTTGTCTTGCCATTAACTCAAAAGGGTGTGTTGATTTGGGCCTCTTCCACATAGCTATATAAAATCCACACTGAACTGTATTATATGGCAGTGTGGACTCAGATAATCCAGTTTGAAGCAGATATTGTGGATTATCTGCCTTTATATTCTGGGTTATATGGCTGTGTGGAAGGGCTCTCAGTTGGCTTAAGACCACACTCCTGCATTCCCTTCCTCACTCCTATTGAAACTCCTGTGGCACTGATTTGTAGGCAGATACACAAATAACAAATTTGGACATAAATCCTATTGCTAGTCATGACTAATTGAATCAGTGGGATTTATTTTTGTCGCCATTTAATAATTGATTAATTGAGCCTACTTTACTTAGATGGGCAGCCTGTAGTCCTAAGGCCATATTTGGCCCTAAACTATGTTTCAAAAGCACTTTTGGATGTTACATTTCTGATCTCATAAATGCAGTTTGTGACTTCTACAAATGCACACTTG